GGGTCATTTTCCCTAGAACCAGAGCCGGACCCCCGATTCCGGTCACGCACGCCTGTGCATGCCACTGAGCCCATCCTGTGGTTAGGATTCATCCCTCTATTCTCGCATACGACACAACATGGAGGAAAAACACAATTCCTCGCCTGATGATCCGCTTTACCGCAATTAAAGCAGAGTGAGGATCTGTCAGTCTGAGACTGACACTTATTCCGCACGTGACCATATTCCAAACAACGGAAACATTGTATTGGACGAGCCCTTAAAAGGGTCACCCTGGCCATAGTCCAACCCACTTTAATAACGCCCGAGGAAGCCAAGCTATTTGCGGCCGCTAAGGGGCATTGCGCCCATACGGAATAAAGACCACTAGGGGTCCTCCTAAATGGGTCCACCCTGATATCGCCATCCGCACATCCCGAAGCGTCCACCACCGCGGCCCTCAGTTCGTCCACAGAGACCGAACTATCCAGACCCATGATCCTAAGCTCACCCTTTGCGATCGGGCGTGAAACCACCGCTTCAGGTCCGAGGGTCTCTTTCAACTTCCTTGCAAGGGTGTCCGCCTTTTCCGTGCCGTCAGAACCCGCAATCTCAATAAGGAATCCGCCATTTGCAGCCATCCTTATTCGCGGCTTGGCGATTTCAACTTCGCCGAGAGACACACACTGCTTAGCCCGCTTCAGCAGCTCGGAATGGGCCACCTCCTGATTCGCCGACCTTAAAGCCACCGCTGCAGCCCTGGGCACTCTGCGCCGTGGCGGGTCCTTTCCCGGGCGAATCGCCGGGCCCGCCTTGTCCCTGGTGACAGGTCGAACGCTCGAGTCCAGACGCCCAACCTGACGCGACGCGTCAACGGAAGACGGAACAACAATAGGAGCCGGTCCTCCACTCGGCCTCCACGCCCCTCGTACCCGTCTCTTGGCCCCTCTTCCACGCACGACCCCCGCCCACGAAGCGCTATCCGAGGAGGCCGCAACCTCCGAAGCGCCACTGGGAAGACGCTTGCGAACCGCCAGCGGAGGACGAATCTGGATGTCCTCCAGGACCCCAGGCAAGGCCCGTGTGGAAGACGAGGGCTCCACCCCTCGAGATCTCCCACGCAACGAGTCTATGTCACGCTGCAGCCCCGCGATGGTGTCCTCACACTTCTGCAGCCGAGCCTCCGATCCCGAACGCCGACGCCCGCCCATCGCCACGTGACCAGCATCCAACGGGCCCCCAGGGCTCAACACTCTCACTCTTTTGCGTGGGTCCCCGCCATCCTGCACACCCCGCGCAGTCAAAGGCCGATCAACTTCCTCGGACGTCGACTTGGAGCCTAAGCGGTCCTTAAAAGCCTTCAGCTCAATACTAAGCTCGGCCACCCGCTTCCGCGCCCCATTCAGGTCCTCCTTCAGTTGGTCTTCCCGCCTCTTGGCAACGCGTAGTTGTCCAGTCAGCTCGATGTTGCGCTGCCTCAAGAATGGGACATCTCCACTGTCCTCCGCTCTTTCCGAGAAGACAGTAACAACCTCCTTCAGACGAATGAATCTGTTCTTCATAATTCCGGAGATTTTGCCCTTAAGGTGACTGCTCTTGGCGCGCAACTCATCTACCTCGTCCAGCCAGCCCCTTGCCTTGCCCGCAATCTCCGCCGACGATAACGCGGAATAATCCCTTCTCGCTTTACGCGGTAGGACCTCGGGAACCTCGGGACAAGGCGGCTCAGAAGAGAGTTGGCCAGCCCCAACCTTCTTCAGCCTCTTCTTCCTGGGCTTACGTGCCTTACGCCGCAGAGACGGATCCACCAACGAATCCTCCGGCAGCGAAGCCCTCAACCTCAGGGATCGCCGCGTTGCACCAACTCGCGGTTCCGAATCGGAGTCTGCTTGTACACTCTCCGGAGACTCAGGAAAGTCTCTCTTCCTCTTGTTCGGTACGCCAGTTTCCCGGTCTAGAGGCTCCGCAGCCTCGGACATACCAGGCAGGTGACTGATGTCTCCACCCGCTACTGCAGCACTCACGGCAGAGGGGGACCCGTTAAACGAAGCGGCGGATGTCTCGCCGACCGAGTCCTCGCAACTAACCATCTCCGCCGCGCTGCTATCCACAGTGGTACTTGACAGAAGCGGTGCCATACGCGGGACCGACGCCTGTGTACCGACATTCTCTTCTTCACCTTCTTGGGTGGATTTTTTATCCCTGGGAACGCCTTCCACCCATGCGTCCTCAGGCTCATTGCCTGTTAGCGACGCAGTTAACACCCCTGGGTTACCAATCCCAGGGAGATCGCTCGGGGGAACGCTGCGCCGTTCTCCAGCAATCCGATATACTGAAGGCGTTTTCGCTTTCTTGTCTTCCATGATTCTTTGAGGGGATCATAGAGCAAGTCCAGGGACAGTCCGTCATCATAAGTAGTTAGTCCATGCCCGTAAATCCTAGTCGCGCAGCCGTATACTAGATCCATCCAATAATAATACCCCCCCCCCCAGATACCCCTCTAAAGGTAACGGGAAACAACGGTCAACGCGGAAGGAGCCCGTACTCCCGCGCAAGCCTACATACAGCGGGGGGACGGCCGGTACCCCGCTGGGACCGTTCGCGACCACGAAATTAAATGGTCCCCGTGGCCATGCCCCTCGGCACGGTGCCTAACACCTTAAGCTAGGACCCACACGTAAAACACGCGACCCCTTATAAGTAACAGCGACTACGTACAATATACAGGGTGTTTGATTCGATATGGACGCACCCAAAGATTATAGTAGATTGGGTTAAACTGAGAAGAAAAGTTATATAAAATTTTACAAAATCGTAATTATTATCGGCCGAATTCAGAAAAACGT